AAGTGAACAAGCCAGTAGAATAGATGTTTCGAAAGCTACCTTGTGCTGCAAACTTCGTCCACACCAGCTTCACTGTGTATATGATGTGTTAGTAGGAATGATTATGTCTGGTGAAACAGGATACTGGTTGAAAACTGGGAATACAACTAAGGGGAACAATAGCCGCGCGGAAAGCCGGCCAAGTATGGAATTTCACTCCAGTATTTGCTTTTTATCTTAATCAAGCAGTTGGGTTTGTTGGCTCTCGTACATGCAAACAAGGAGGGTCAAATACGCAGGTGTTGACGACACTGGTTGAAAAAAATTAGATCGTGAGGAGTGAAAATGCTTTTTCTTATCAGTGTCATAGGGTGGTTATTCAAGGACAGTGATTTGGCCGCAATTTAACTAACTGTGACCTGTCTAGCTGATTGAGTTCGACTGACAGAATACTAATTAGCACATGTAAATCACATCAAATTACGCAGAGAATGATGGGCCGTCCAGTTTTTCGTCATACCTGACGAAATAAACAGGCTTAACAAAGCACATGCCAATAATTAATCAAAACTAGATATCAAGTCAGTGTTTTTGAATGAATCTTCAAATAGGTCGTCAGTCTATCTGGTTCCATCATGCTAGGCTACACAATGAATGACCTTCGGGCTGATTCCGTGAACGAGCATCTCGACGTCACGGATGGCAGTTCTCGCGTTTTTCTTGAAGCTACATATAGGTAGCTCAGCTACTTGAGACATCCGGCCCAAACAAGCAGCATCTTTTTGTGTAGATCAAACGAGGCTAAGACCAATCGGTTTAACACATAGGGGATACGAGCAACTTCTTTACGAATAGAGTCTTTGTTGGGTTTCATTAGACAATACAGACATTTCGTGATTCAAAATCTATGGTGATCGGGATAAGAAGTCTCTGATTCTAATAAATTCCAGCGTATGCACTCTTTGTGTACAATACGCTCTAGACTCAGTGGTTTGACTTTACCGTGTAAGCGAGACTCATCAACTACCTGCTTGGCTCACGTTTTTATGCCCTGAATAAACGGCCTGATGGCACATCAGAACTAGTCAGAAGAGAAATGTGAACAACCAGCACGCGAGATATGGTCCAACCAAACTAAGAGTCTCAACGTTGATAAGAATAGTCTTCCATGGATATGGGTCCTTATTTGCCAAAGAAAAAATAGTGGGAACAGTGTATAATAGACGTTAACGGCAAGGATACTAGTGTAAAGTGGATACTACTGACGAGTATGAGAGTAGTATGTGGGATCCCGTACCCCCATCTTGATCTAATGGAAGGTGGGATTTATTATGAAAGTTGTGAGATTGATCTATAGAATTCGTTTACACTTGCTTGATAGTCAGTTAGTAATCAGAAAAGTTTAAGAAGACCCGTTCAAGAAGAAGGGGGTATTCATTTTTTAAAAAAACTAGGTGCATATGGGAGTTTTACCTTCCTGTTCCACAGTCTATAACTGTTCGGTTGGTGTTGTCTTACAAACGACTCCGCAGTAAAGAGCTTCTTCCTTTCACTGGTATCCCTATCAGGCGCTTCGTAGGACCACTGTTATTTTTCACTTAGGGCATCAAAATTAAATGAAAAGCATACTGAAATGCCGAAGTGATGCATTTTTGAGTTATTTTGGCAGATTATTTCCATGGACACACTTGAAGCACTTGAAGCTAATTGCACTCGTTGGACCCTTTGCTCTTCATGGTCGCTTCTTCCAAGAAAACCTCTTACTTATCGGCAATAAAGTGAGTATAACATGAGTAAGAGTTTCAGTTCAGTTGGTACTCTTAGCAAGACAACCAAATTAGTGATGAGTTGAAATATTGGTAGCCCGGGTGAGTTGGGTGCGTACCCAACTGCGCTTTGATGGTGTCTCCTCGACTGGCGACGTAACATTCGCAAGTCAATTGCCAAGCTCGGGAAAAAATCAACAGCCATTTAATCAGACCCCATGGAACCAAAGTCTTTTAAATATAGACTTTCACAGAGCGGGCATTATGGGCAATATTTACTTAAAACTATGCAACCTATGAGGCAGAGGACTTAAAGATGCTAGGTGGACAAGTGCGCTTAAGTATAACTCCAACTCATAGGTGGCTTGATTAATGATTACCAGAAATAATGGACATCTCACTGACCAAACATGAATACCGGTTAATCTGTTTCAGTGTTTCACTTCCTGTTCCTCCTTTCAGAAGAAAACCAGTCTAGCTCCATTTTCCCCCAAATTTTTAAGCATGTACAAGCTGGAATGCTGGGAAACAATCCCGTGTTCCCAGGTAGTGACCAGAATGAGCCAAGCTCAGGCGAGGTTGTGTCACACCATGGATATTGCACACAACATGTACTCCTGCGCGGGCGCAACCCAGAATAAAACCGATAGCAAACAAAATTGGAATTTGATTGTATGATTCACAAATCTGTGTCCTTAAGAAACTTATGCGACCTTTGAAATAGGACTGGCCTCGTAGCAAATCAGTGAGACAAGGCTGCAAGATGCCTGTGTCACTTTCGTGACCACCTGACTCATTGAACAGTTTGTTCACATTTTTTAGAACAGGTCATTGAAGCTTCCATGGACAGTAAGGTTCTGATGATTCTTCACGTAGACTTGGATTTGCAACCTCTGAGCAAGCAGGTGAGGTCAACCTTTCGGCCACAATTGGATGATCAACAGTATGAATAACCAACGCTTACGAAATTTAGACCCGCAATCATCATTCAGTCAAGAGGACTATGTCATTTGTTTACATGTTGACTGGTTCCAAGATTGATCACTCCCGGGCCTGAAAGTTTACGCGGCTTTTGCACTAAGCTCTTCGTCCACCGTTGATGGCACGAGATTTGCAGAATGTCCATCACGTTAAAATCTGTTAGGAGATTTCATCTATGCTGAAACCCCAAATAATTGTACCGCTGTTTTAAACTTGCTGACATTCATCAAGGAAACGCACCTCACGGACCCCCGAGGAGTTTCGTCTTGTAATCACGTGCTCAGTCGATGAATTCTAATATGAGGCAAGGAGACTGATCAGCAGTGCAATAGCGAAAACATTCAGGAAACATGATGAAATTTCTAGGTTTGGAGACTTGGAGCAACCGCAGTTGGTCGAGATGCGTAAGTTGTCTGTACTTAGTTTCCAGGCCTCCGGGGAAAGCATTTTATACTCAACTTACCGACAACGTTAGTTTAAATCTGAGTGGTGGAATCCTCACACTTGACATTTGGACCAAATACAGATTAATGTTCCACATTCTTCCCATTGTTAGTCATTGGGATGATATTTGCCGAAAACCCATTTTATCTATTGGCTGAAGTAGTCTGAATTAATCAAAGAAGCCTGAGAGATTAGCAGCAAACTATTTGGGATTAGAAGGTTGAAGCATAATGTAAGGTAGTAGAGTCCAGAAGTTTCGGTTCCTACGTGCAACCCATCTCGGGGAACTTATCAGTAAAATAGTAAGCTTAACGGATGACGTATCAAACCTCATCCGTGTAGCCGTCATTCATCATGAGTGTAGACTGGTGCATGCGTTCATTCGTCTTCCGTTCGTGCAATTGTGTGGACGAAAAGATCTGAGTGTGTTTAGATGGTGCCTACAACGACAAGGGTCAGTTTTGCGTCATTATTTGGTTATCCGTTCTGCCTTAGTGGTTTGTGATTACTAAGGAATGAGCTAGGTCGATCCAAGCGGTTCAAGTTCCAATTTAATTTTCACGTCAGAAGAAGTCACTTCTCACAACAAATGCCGCTGCTTTGTGCTTCTGGTGAGCGTCGAGAACATATCTCTCCTATGTGTTAAACGCAATGTCCAGCGGATAAAAGTTGTGTTGCGAAAACCCTATTAAAAACATTTGCCCGCCTAAAGAGCAAATTTTCACATGAGAATCAGGACGTCTACACAGAGTTCCTCATCAATAATAGTGCGTTTCAAACACGCATGTTGTCCTGTTACAAGTTTACTGTCACTCGAAATTAGGAGTGAAAACAATATAAAATAGGCAACTTGTACACACGTTTCATAACATCCTCGCTGGTGGGAACGGTCTGAAGTGCGTCTCAGGTAAAAAGGTGCATCAGCCAGAAGTTCCACCATTCGTCACAATGACACGGACGCTGCGAAACTACGTCACATTCTTGTCGTGCTCCTCCATCTGCTAAATGGGATTACCTATTTTGTGGACCTTTTGTGTGCCACAGAATATCCCGACTGCGATGAGGGCGACGTGAATAATTCCTACTGCGACTATGTTGTTTTGGTCTTTATTCCTCTATGTTTTCCTGTGCACAACTTTTGAATATTTCAGTTTAGTCATACATAAAAACCTTGTGCTAAGAACAACGGAAACAGACAAACCAATCGGGAACAGTAATGAACAATCCAATTAAATATATTCACTGAACAAGTTTCAACTTGCTTGTACGCATTTTACGAGATCCTGTAACGCTAAACTTTCCACTAAATGCCTTAGTTTTAAACTGAGCCTCCTCAAATACGACAATTTACCCAAGGGCTTATGCAGACAATGTTCTCCGCACATTCATCTTTTCAACCTACTTAACTGTGTACACATCCACGGACTGGAGAATGTACATTTCTACCTATTCATTGCTTTGGCCTACCGACCGTCACATTGCGTTCACAGGCCAGTTGGATAACTTCGAAAAGACTCAGCGATAGCACTTCATGAGGCTGCAAGTATAAACATGTCAACTTCAGTGGCATGCAAAACTTTTCAGTAAGATCAGCACACGTATAAAATCTAACCAAGTCAATGTTCTTGATAGCATTGTATGTACGTTTTAACGTGCTATCAATCTATTTGAGTAGAACCACATCCCGACTACACCCGATGATGGTTATAGGACTCAACACCGAGAGTGAATGCTCTCGATAGTTGATTTGTATGCCACTATATGAAGAACAGTCAGTTCTGTCGGTTAGTAGTCATAACAAAAATGTTTTTTTTTGTAAGTGCAACTTACTGGGACATCCGGGCGAGAAGGGTAGGCAAATGACACATTTTGAAACTGGATATCTCCTTTGAAGTCGGCGAGCATCGGTTTGTCCCGTCCTTTGCCGATTTGAGGTTTCTGGAACGGAGTATGAGCCTCATTTAGAAGGTCTTCTTCAAGGGTAAATCGATTGCTTTATACATGACTTCATGAAGCATTGCCCAACAATAAAATCGCGTGCTTATTGGCGCGCATATTTGAGAGCCGTTTACGTATAGTTCATTTTTTCCGTAACAACCCAGAACGATCGGTATTTCCTTTAAGCGATGAGGGTATATATATTCTTGTGATAAATGGTGTCTCAATGTCACAACGACTGCATTCATCTCCAAAAGTGTAGTCATGTTTATGTACATATGGGAGTTTTTACCCAAGTTTCGCTGCTATCGGACGTTTCAGAGAAAAGGTTATATGGTAGTATCACCGTGGAAAAACTTAAAAAAGCATGTTGCCTGCACGTCTCTATGCTTTTATGGGACTGCTCAGCGTGTTATCAGAGATCAGTTACAAAAATGGGATACCATTTATACCGAGTGAATTTTTTCGGGTGTGCACCCTGATGCTCACTCATTGACAGTATATTCTGATTGGTTGACTACAATCTATACCAATTCCCTATGATTTCACCGCATTATGTCAGTTGTACTTTACAGCCAGCAATATCTTAAAGGGCTATCTTGTGACGGAGAGAAAAAACATTCCGGTCCTTTTAAGCGATCAATTACTCGCGTAGTGGTCAGATAGATATACTGTCATCTTAACCAATGACATAAACATCGAGCGCTCATACAAAGAATAACGATGTGTAGAGGAATGGGTCAAGCTCTTCTATCGGTAGTGGAATTTTTAGTGATTTCCTTAGAGCACTCAGGCAACGGCACCAAAGTTCCGATATCAGTGCCACCATAGACTCTAAAACCCCTCAACATTTCGTTAGACTTTCTTGGTGCCAGTTGATTCCTATCATCATCGTCCTCATCATCATCACTTTCGTCTGCGTGAACAGCATACTTGTCGTGCATTGGTTATGGCTACCACAGTTTCGTTCACCGATGATAGGGGGAGAATAAGTACTCGTCATCGGAGTCAGAACGTTTTGTAATAAAGACTGAAATACTAAAAGGAATCTACTCTAACCACAAAAAGTCACCTTCCATTCTTCTGCGTAAACATAAAATGCAAACGTTGCTGACAGCACTTTAGCTCTGACTTTATTTCGGAACATTTTGTTGTGATCAGATGCGCCGTTTAAATTCGTTGTGGGCATTTTCGAGCCTTTTGTTGTTATAATTTCAGAGTGAGTTTTGTAAGGGATGTAGCTACCGGGCCAGGCGTTAAGTTCTTTTGTTTGTGACTGAAAAAAATTATTTCGACGCCACTTCCTAGACAGATTTTATGCAGACATTTTAAGCATGAGTTTCCAAAACTGACTGCAATCTACCGCAATGGCTTAATCATTTTTGCGCACGGTTGATGCTTAGATGTATATTACACATACTCGATGAACCACGTGTCTCGCTATCTCTAAATCCAATTATGATTACAAATGTTTACTTAATATTCTTTTAGCTTATCGATCCACTTTGCTGACAAGGAGAGTAGAGGCCACAATTTCTTCGTTGCTTTCACATTTCCTTGACAGTTCGTTCGCATTACGTTCGAAGGATAACCGTGTCTAAATTTTCGCTTTTATCACAGGTGCGGTATCTACTTATCCCATAGTTTATACTTGTTACCGGAAGTTGCATGCAGATAGGAATGTGATGAGTCACTTGACAAAAAACTACAACAGATATGATCAATACTTTGTTTTTTTTTGCAGATGAGCATTGATCTCATGTGATGAAATATTTGTACATAAAAAGTGTAGACGTTTCACTTTTGAAGATAAAGGTCAGACAAAATCCCCTTAGAGCCTAAAACACCTGGGATACTTCTCCCTCTGTGGAACTGATTAAAAGGTGCACTAACGTTTAGCTTATGTCCTATAAAGGAATATAACTTTTACTGTGTCCTTGTTTTCTACCTTCGAACTTAATCTTCTTAAAAAGTACACAACCTAACACATTCTATTGTGGAAGGTTCAACAAAAAATATAACGAAACTTCTACAGATAACGTTTATCGAAATAGTGATTTAACGATTTACTTAATCGAGATTATTTAGTCGAGCAGAGTCTGCAATAGTGCGCTTAGTGCGTTAGTCCAATACAGGTAACACGAGATTTGACTTGAAAGCAAGTCCTACGTAAATTGGTGAATTTAAATATCAATCTTAATTTGAACGCACTTATTAAAGTAAAAAAGACGGCAATCCTCGTGCATACAGAACTGTTATAAATACATTTACCAACTAACAAATTATCTATAACACATGGTGATCAGCAAATTAGATGAATTTTGGATGGCTACCAGCCAGAATCGACTTGATATTTGTTTGGCTGAGAAAATGGGCAATAGCCGACCAAAATCAAATCAACAGCACAAAAACGGGGGCCCACGAAATATACTTTACCTAACCCAAAATAATGAATGAGTACTAAACGTTCACCTGTTTTATTACATAGCTAGAAATTCGTTCATAGATTTTTCTTCGTTTGGGGCTTTTTTCAGCTGGGCCTATCTCAACGAATTTCATATCAGAATACAAAAGAAAGACTTTCGTTCTTAAGTCGAACACGTTGGTTTATCGTGCGAATCCTGTATGTTCTACTTTATTGCGCTTCATTACATACGGTTGCATGTCGCATGCCTTCCTTATATGCACTTATTTCTCATTATTCTACTTACATTTCTATTATAGAAGTTTGAAGCGGCATGAAATGTACTGGTATCGCACTTGCTGTTTTTGTCCTGCTTCCTAGCCCTTTTTTGAATGAAAATTCGACGAAATTAAGATTATGACCAACCTGTTCACCAAGTCATGAAACGTTGGTCTTCCCCCTAACTTCTTGTGCCAGCTGTTTACTCGCTCCAGCAGGATGTGAGCTTGCAAGTTTTTTATTACAGAATTCAGTGCATATTTGCATCCAGAGGAATTCATTGCGCCCACGCGTCATTTGAGCACCGATAGTTCAAGATGCCTCAAGGGACCGATAGAACACCACATGACTATCTGGTCGAAACCTACCCATTCACGTTTTCTGCTTAAATCCAGTCACTAAGACTGTGGAAAATTAGAGACCCAGGATAGACCACTTCAGGTCCACTACACCTCAGGTGATATGAAGTTACTTTCGGGAAAAAATTAAATGGTTAGTGCTTTCCTTTTAGTAATTGCCACGTTCACAAATAAGGTCACTGCTGACATGTGTGTGAAAATGGCACAAGAGCACTAGGACCACTTTAGCTGATACATAGGATTCATTATTTGTTCCCTGATTTATTTGATTTTATTGCGAATGAACTTCCAATTATTAACTTGTATTTCAATGAATATATGATTGCTGTTTAATCTCTGGCACGTGTCTTTGTCAGCTATTTGTCGTTTTGGGATAAGGCAAAGATGAAAAGGGGATAAAATAGAAGGAAGCTATCTCCGTTGAGCTTTCAATCCTAAATATGCAGAGGTACATCCCTGTGAACAATTTTTTACGAAGAAAAACTCGGGTCTTTGTCGCGATTAAAAATTTCATCCTGTACAGTGTTCTTTCTTAATTGAAGTCTAAAGCCGTCCAGACTTGAGAATGATGTGGCTGCCTAAGAAACTCAAATGACCCAAAATAAAGGATTGCTTTTGAAACCATGTAATGTTTTTATACAAAATTCCCCAGAAAAGCAGATATGATAAAGACGCCTCCAGAGGGCATGGACTTTGGGAATTCAACTAAGAGGCTCACGGTCTGAAGCGCTACTTGGTTATTAGATGGAAGCATAGAAGACATCATTGTATATTACTAAAGGTTCATACATAAGATGCCATCAAGAAATGCTCAATTCCTTATGGCATTTTTCACAAATTTCCAGGGCAGTTTGCGTCCAAAATCGCATAATATTTGTTGAAAGGCTTTCCTATTCTTGGTACTGTAGGTATATTCGTGTTATCTTCTTCTGCCACAGCTTTGTTTATTTAGTTGATCATATAAGTATCCTAAATATCCCAATGGATGTCTTCCCAAATTGATTAAAACGCGCTTCTCGGTACATAGTGCTGTGATCAGAATATTACTTTTGTTTTATTTCGGTAGTGTATCTATCTCCCTGACTGGGAAACTTAGAGCTCCGGCCATAATGTTTTTTCTTCGTTGCTCACTGCAAACAGGTTATTAATCATGCACACAGCACACAGAGCTGCATTTCTGATGGGGATGGTCTCACTAAATCTATCATGGACAGTGGAGTTGCATAATTTGGCGGAACTACCTCTTAATTGGGAGCACCGTTAAGCTGTTCTCGATAATTTTTGTTAAGGCATATTTACATGAGATACATGGAAGCTAATACATGTTTTAAGGTTCTATGTTAGACCGGGGACGTATGTTGAAAGATGAAATACACGAATGCGCTAAGCAAGTTGGGTACAAGTATTCCTACCCAATGTTACCAGGTTGCAAAACGTCTTTGAAGGCAACTGACTGACAATGTCTTGCATTTGGTGGACAACAAAAATGATTCCTGACAACTTATTGAAGATGAAGATAAAACGATGAATGAGAGCTTGACTGGATTGCGCATTAGTTTAAGTCTCCATATCTGAAATCTCCATCACCTTGATGGCTTGAATTTCCGCCTAGCGTAAAATTCTTTTCTGCCTGTATATGATCGGTTTTAGCATATCTGTGCTCTGCAACTACCTCATTACAAAGCTGGTTTTGGATATCACTATAGATTTAACTTTAACTATTTGGTGGAATGTTCTCTCAAATATCCAGCAGAACACGCTGTCCCTACACAGTGAAATGTAATGTCCAACATCTGTACGTAGGGATCAGTGCGGATGTCACAATGAGGTACAGCCACTTTACAGTTTTTACACCCAAATGCAGTCTTTTTCAAAATTTCTGGTTTGCAGAGTTGGTTATTGGTTTTTGTTTTGAGCAATTTCAAAACTTTTCTAGGAAAATATCAAAATTTGTCGAACTCCCAACTGACCACCTACTCGGGATGACAAAATCTCGTTCAAAACATATTGCAATGCGGTTTATGGCTACTTCTGGTTCCCTAAGTTATTTCTGCGACACAGTGCGTTAATCACATTGACAGATTTCTTGAGACATCCATTCTTACCCGCTCAATGGTTCCAAAAATGTCTCGCGCAGCATTCTTAGCGTTTGTGAAATGTTGTAGAAATGGAAGTGCATTTCCCAGATACATGCTGCCCATGATTATGTTCATAAATATCTGTGAGAAAAAAATCAAGGATTTAGTTTTCAAACTAATATTTACCTTGCCAAAATCATGTGATGAATTATGTAACATGAATAACTTAAAGCAAGTAAATCATTTTAGACTGCAGGGGTATTTCGCAAAGGCCAAAGTCATGGGGTTGACAAAGAAGCGCAGCAATTTGGAAACGGTATCAGGGCTAAATAGATTTGGATACATGGGTAGTTTTACAGTCGTAGCTTAAATTCTGAAGTAGATATGCTTTCAAAAGCTGCGCAATATTTTGCTTGTGATTGTCGCTGTCCATTATTCAACCTGACAATTTAAATCAAGTGATCCGATGCAAACAAGCCTATTAGGTGATGCTTGTCAGAAGATCAGATCGGATTTTGCTTTCTCTGAACACCGTATTCTAAAGATCATTCGGAATTTTCACCCAATTTAGCGCTTAGTCAAAATGTTGTTAATGAGTGACTCAGGTAATGATGGAGATTTTTCATGACATCAAACCACACCAAAGAACTACACAACAACAGGCCCGAAAATTTAGACCGCGCATAAAAACGCAACGAATAGTCAGCAAAATCCATCGCTGATTAGAATGTGCGCCACAAATTATGATAAAAAATCTTCGAAGCCTCGCTGCACCTAATTTCTCTTGTATACACACTCAAGTGTGCTGCCGCTTTCACGGCACACACACGACAAACATGAAAGTTTGAGTTCAGGTGGTTCGAGAAGTTTAATCATTGTCATGACACATACATACACAACAAAGAAACTGGTGCTGTTTAATGCGAGCAAATCGGCTGGATATTTTCACAGTGCGATAGACAAACCAAGCGGTGTAATGCATACATTATTTGACGAGCTGTTTCTCGTCCAGATTACGTGAAGTTAATTTCCTAATTGCTGACCAAGCGACTCCAACCCACTGCTCTCATGTATCTGGTGGTATAAATTAAAATCCCGACAGGGCTATGTATATGCACTTCTGGTGGCGTAAATTGAGTTCGTTGATATGACACCTTCAGACAGAAAACACTCAACGTTGTCTGCTCTTAAATATATTATTCTACAAGAATGTTTCTGTTCCTACCTTGTTCGAAATCAGACATAGGGGTTCAAAGTTCACATTTTCATCACTTGTTGGGCTCCGCAATGCATGAAATACTAGGCTTGGTTTTTATTGGAAAACTCATTCTATTTGAGCAAGATCAACCCTGAGCTGACATAAAAAATGTGCCCAAGGCGTTGTCACGAGTGGACGGTTGTAACAGACGAATGACAATTTTAGCAATCATCACATTATCAGGTCTTCCTGCACTAGGATGTGTTGGAAAATGTTCCGTTGCGTTGTCGCTCAATTTTTACTTGTTTAGGATGGTCACCATTTTCTGCTCAGAATGCTGCTAATCTTGTGCTCAACCTACGGACTGATTATATCTATCTCCCCTTGAGCACTAGAACACACTACTCTCTAGCGTGTCTGAAATGAGTATTGAAAATTGGCAAATATGAACAAGCCGTACAACACTTCTTCCATTATTCCAAATATATTCAACCTAGTGCACGTAACTTAGGATATACTATAAAGTGAAAAGAATTTCTGGGTTTTACGTACCCTGAGAGAAACCAAAATCATGCCGTAGGGTTATTTGCATTCGGCTTTGTGTTGTGGAACGTACAAGACTTGATAGTAGCAGTGAAAAAAGAAAAGCATTTAGATGGAAGCGTTTTTGTTTACCTTAGTCTTAATAAAAAATGAAAACGTGTGTGCAGCGGAAAGGTCTACACTAAAAGTGGTAGGATGAATTTTGTTGAAGTTTTTAACTTGAATTCAGTTTTAATAAATCTTGTCGGCCAAGAAATGGCGATCGGCTGTTTCATCACCCTGACTAAGCTAACTTCTTGAGGAATGAAGGAAATAACTCAACTTGACATTAAAGCAGCGTAATCTAGCGGACCGGCTTGAATACAGTAGCACGAAATGGTAAACTTGCGCTGTGATCAAAATTGTGAAGGGGTGGACAGTTTTTTCGAAGCTGATTTAGGCGGAGGTTTGGGAACTCACCGAAAATGTACCCTCCGTCTGATTACAGGGTTGTTTGCATAATTCGGTTTATTTTCAAAATCTTTTATGGTTCTGACCAAATGTTTACCATTAGGACCCATTATGACTAGTCTTAGTACATGGGTTTAGATAAGTCCTCCTTAAAGATCGCACATTCACCAAATATCTGATTTGGTCGTCAGTAAACTAGACATAATCTTATATTTCATATTGCAAGCTGGCCAATGGAAGAGTTAGCAGTTCCCTGGGTGAAGTAATTATTATGAAACATTGATTACTTACGCAGGTGGAGATGAAAACCGATGAAGGTTTCCAAATGACAGCTTGTTATGCGAAAAATTTGAGTGCGCAATTTTCTGACGAAAAGGCGTATTTGTCTAACGCGGCAATTTACTTCCTGACAGCTCGTGTGAAAGCAGCTAAGCAAATTCAGGTTGAATAAAAGACAAACACTACGAAGGCGGAAAAATGTCGGATGGCAAGATGTCTCCATCAGCGAAGATGCTATGACTGATTTTTCTCATGAAAATGTCGTACTTTTTCAACAAGATAAAAAATCTTTGAATGAATTGCGATGATAAGATATGTTCAGTTGTCAACTAAAGTCGCCTTGGTAACGTCAACGAAGCTTCTGATAAACCTTTGTAGGATGCTTTACAACAATTCCATCCTAGCTGAGAATCCTTTACGGAGCGCATCGCACAAGACTTTTAGGGTTAAATCTTTTACTTCTCGGGTCAATAATTTACTTTACTTTGTCCAATCTTTTGCGAACAAATGGTCATTAATTCTACTGGGGCTGTCATGACAACAAGTTAGTCCCACAAACAGCAGACCTACAAAAAAATCCAATGCAATAATATGGTTGTACGCAGGGTTTAACGTGCACGACGAGTCTATTTACAGTGTGGCTTTATTTAAGCAGTGCAAGAAGAAAAGGGATATTTTACTGGAGATTTAGTCCTGCAAGTGAAGCCAATCTATGCTGAATAGCTCAAAAGCCTCCTAAATCCATATAATCCTTACTGGTAGCCACTAATATTGTGTGTCACACAAAACTCTAGGGATTCTCGAATACGCGATCTACCGCCATGTTTTTTGAACACTTGAGCATCCAAACACGAGCGGTTGTTCAGAAGTATGATTGGACTGTACTTAGACAGGACATAAGGCTACTCATCCCCGACGACTGAATTCACATTATGTCTGTCATTCCTCTCAAGAGACCGCTTTTCATCTGAAGGTTCCACACATCGGATGAATTTTATTCTCCTTCTATGGCACTTAAAGTGGTTATAGGCTATGAGGAACTTTTGAGTTTTTAATGAGGATTTCATCTTGTGAATGAGGCCGGAAAGTGCTGCAGAACTGTTTTATTATTATTGGAAACTACGAGCCACCTTTCGTGAAACACGCACTGCTAATGATTTCCAATATAGATAGAGCAGCTGTAAATAGCTTCTTGGCTTCACTCGAGGCTATGTTTGAAGCGAATAAGAGTATAAGCTGTCCACTCGTGAAATTGTGAATTCAGATTTTCGTATGATAACGCATAGACTCATCCAATCCCAGAAATGCGTTTATCATATTTCGCCTGCTGGACGGTGCCGCACTAGCTCAATTATCAAAAGTCATGCGCCATATCATACGTATGTCAAAGATTTACTTGTGATTATTCATGCACATACCTAATTTGAATACAAAACTGATCGATGTGACAAAATTTAAGACGGCTAATTTTAACGGCGCATTTTAATGTGATGTTTAAGACTTCTGTGAAATTTTTTGTCACCGTTTCGAGCAATGAAACCTACAACCCACGTCACACAATCCATGATTCATTCAAATTTTACGGACAAAAAATTCAAGAAACATCGTGTTTTCTTTTAAAACGATGCAAAATGCTAATAGTCCTATTCCGAAGTAAGCATTAAAAATATTTTTTTCTAACTACAATGTCTTTTTAATTCCGTTTCAAGAGAATTTGGTGCTATACTTTTCTCTACATACTGTGCTGTTTTATACCTTTTAAATTTTACTGAAAGCACTTTGGTGCATATGGAAAATCTAGTTCTTACCAAAGTGCTGATTTTGACTTGCTCTCAGGGGTTCGCAAATCTTTCAGGACATCATGCCACATCAAAGTTTTGTACAACTCAATCCCAAATATTGAGGTCATAGTTTGGAACAGAACAAATAGTCCACTAATTAATTCGCTGATTTCAATTTGTCCCACAATTCCTCCGCACAAGCTTAGCGAAAAACTTTGAAACTACTTTACATTCAGTTTTTATCGCATTTACTTTAAAATGCGCCAGCGCTTTCTCAAGGATCACACGATAAACAGGCGTGATTTAATTTAGGTGGCTGAAGAAGAAGCTTAATCTCCGTCGTGACCGTTATACACATAACAAGCAAATGGATGTTGCTTAGTTTGAACGAATAAATAGAGCAAGCCTGGTGAGCTCACGAACGGTTGTTCTGTTTATGGTCCAGGTTACTTGGCTCCAATTTCTAAATCGTACACGGTAATCCCAGTAGACTTCCTCATAAGCCTACAAGCCAATGCTTCGCATCGAGGATGTAAAACTTCGTCTATTTAGATATGTCAATTTTTATATATTGTGCGTGTGCTGGTGGAGGAAGCCCATTCCTCTCGCAGTTCAGATGCCAGAAATTATAATATAGACACTGCAATTGATATGCACCGCTTGTGAGCTCTGATATGAGCAGAGATCCGGCTCATTGCCGCTCCCCCGGATTCGGTTCTACCAATGTAATTGCGCGAAAACAAGTAAAAGACATTTTAGAGAACATAATTTGAATATGATATCTACAAATGACGCAATCGATCAGAATCAGTTATCAAAGTGAAGTGGCCTAAGTGTCTTCTGAACATGACCGCTTTAGACTACACTTCCCGGAAATTTGAAATTGAGTACTGGGCACCTCCGAAGAAGTATCTTGAAAAACTCACTGTTCTAGGCTTAGAAGAGGCAAGATGTCACGGAATAGGCTGCTTCCATAGCGTTTCGCTTGTTATATTCAGCGGCATCTGTACGACTCAAACACGTTTAAATCCAAACATCGAAATCAGTACTGGACATAAAACGGAACCACCATCGAATGTGTTAGTGTTCTGAGTTCAAGTTTGGTGGATGACATCACGAATATCTATTCAGTATTTGATCAAAATATCAAGGAACCCTTGTGTGAACCCTACACTGGAAGTACCATCTGTCGGATTATCACCCGGGCTCTCCGGAGGTTTCAGACACAACATTTGCAGGCAAACGCTAACATCAATAAACAAACTTCATTACTACAGAAGTTTACGCGGCGAAAAACAAAAGAATGCAAACCAATCACTACGAATTAACATTGAGGTGCCAGCGAAAAACACAAGAGCATTGAACAGCCCAAAGCAGATCTTTGTAAAGGTAAACCAATTGAGACTTCCATGTGTGCGGCTGGTTGCATCCTCCGGAAAAAGACGGGAAAATATATCTTCAGCCACAGAGCCTGATATAGTCATCAAGATAAGTTCACTAAGAAGTAAAAAAAAACATTATTATCATGCACCTTAGCAATGCCGCCATAGTGTGCCCGCTCTATTGCTAAAATTTCCTTGATTGCCCCCACTTGATAGTGCGCCTTATCAACTTTTAAGGCCATGCTAGTTCATCTTCCATCAGCAAAGACACTCATCTTGGTTGAGTCATTAGACGCCTCCTACAGCTTCAGTAATGTAAGGCATGCCTCATCAACTTCAACGGCGATGTTTGAGCGTTCCGTACTGGTAGGCACAACTGGGGTATGGGGGACAAAGCATTTGGATGTATTTTGAATAATGTAAGTGAGACACACCGACCATACACTGTGTGAAATTGGCTTCCGTCCTTGAAACTTTAATTTCACCACCTAACGGTTTAATTAACTCTTGTGAGTTGGCTCCCTAAACATGTAAATGTAACACGGAGCTCAGAGATTAGCTAACACGAGTCCATACTTCTGTCTTTTAAGCTGAGTTTAAGGCAAAACTTTATTCAGAGAAAACCTGGTGTGATCACCAAACAACACTACCATATGAAGTAAAGTGGCCTTGCACTTGATTAGTATTCAATAACTAGTCCGACCTCACGAACGTTTTAGACAGTGAAATGCCTCGGAGTTCAGCAGACTGAGCGCATTCGCAAACCAGAACCGGAATAAATTATTACTGTTATTAAATAAGAAAACGTACGCATATATAAAAGCAACGTTCCTTCGGGCAAAAGTCTATATCATATCATGTCAACTTTATTTCTAAGGTCTACGTGTAGAAGCCGCTTCTCATCAGAATTTTTCATTGTTTCTCAACAGTTAAGTCAGGAAATGTCCGAACAAAGGGATTGCTCCACTTGCTGCGGTGTAGCATACTAACCCACCAGATAAACTTTTATGGAAATTAGTATGATCGCTTTTGTTATCAAGATTAAAAAGGAAGCTACTTGCAATTATGCAGAGTCACCCCGTCCCGTTTCTTGGTGAGAGTTTTTCTGTGGTTGATGCCATTAGTCGATCTTTTTGTTTTGACTGTTAGGCGCTTCAAAACAAAGTGCGGACGACTAAACTTTTTACTGCCCTTTTGAGTATAGGTGACCCTCTTTTCCGACCCACCTTTTACTGTGTCATAGATGAAACCCTGCTTTCTTTTGAGAAACTTTTATATTAATTAGTGGGTCTTTTCCAGGAATTATTTGAAACAGAAGAAAAAGCAGGGTGCAGAATGTGCAAGCTTTTTTGTGGACGCTTTGGGACTGACTGATGTAATTTAATCACTATTGGGGTTAAATCTCTAATGGTCATAGATAAAACAAAAAGTCTCGCCGTTTGGTGTTGTACGATATTTTATGTCTTAAGTAAACATTTAAACACCTGGGAAATTTTTGGCGACTGAGCTGGAATTCGAATCTGTTTATTCAAACAAATTAAACATACTAGCTTAAATAACTATCTGAGTGCGCATCGAATGTGGTGGAATGGACTTGCCCAACAGTTGTTTCGAAATATGTCGCGCAATGGGTTGCGTTTGTACGCCGCAGTGCAAATATGTTCAGCAAGTGACCAGTAACCGATCTTTATTGATTGTATTGATAAGCATATCATGCTTAATTATTCTTTTAGAATCCTACTCTGGCTTAAAGTGTTTGTCTGACGGAAGGGCGTCCATTCAAGAGCCATGTAAGTCTTACAGTTTCACCGGATTCAGACACCAAACTACCGGCGTCTGTAAATGAAACCTAAAAGTATTTGTAGAATGTACATCCTCATAACTCTGAACCTACTCACACCATCAAATCCATTTTTTGCTGTACGTGTGAGAGTTCTGCATCACCAGTTCATTCACAGTGTCCACAAATTTGCAATCAACTTATAATAAGGGAAAGAAAAGTACTCGTTGCGATTTCTCTTGTATTCAGCGAAATCGTTCCTCATTGCCTAGTGAATGTGTACTTGGCGCCCTAGTTGCTGATATTAATTTTGAGAAACCCCACCAATGAATTCAGGAATGCTATGACTTACCAGTATGATTGTTCCGTGGTCATAGTTTTCCTGAAGCATTAGTTGAACGCCATACCAAAGGATGATACCAGTGGAAGTGTAAATGGTCAAACCGATAGCACCGGTGACTGAAGTGAATCAAACGGGTTGCGAACATAGAGATGGATTTGAGCACGAATCACCACACCGTAAGTGAGTATATATTGAAGACCTATTCTGATTAGTCAGTATTATATTTTCAAAGAGAAAATTCCTGGTCCACTACAACAAAATATGATAAGTCGCATGGCATTATTTCCCTTAATGAGTGAAACATCTCAGAACTGTGGGAAAAATCCATCAATTCAGTAGTCATCGTTGATATTTGTGAAACAGATACGACCAAATCTGAGCCAGCTGCACTTAGAATAACAGTCCAAAGTGGAAAATGAGTGTAATCATCGCTATCAAGATTCCTATAGTCATGCACATGTCCTGGATAGAATATTGACAAGAATAGTCGTAATAGTCCAACGTAATCAACAGTGCCATGCCTGGTGCTTAGTATCTGGACCCAGCATCAGAGCAATTACTGTAAATGTATTTTATTTGAGCTGACGATACGCCCCATTCAGTCGAAGTTCTATCTCTTCAGTTGTTTCTTCGCGCCAACTCGAAATGTGTGAAAGAAAGAGGTGGTTGTGTTCACTGAATATTCTAAAGTATTTAGCGGCCAGGTTCAAGAGACAATATTCCTTAAAAATCCAAACATCAAAATATTGTGGAAGATTCAACTCTACAACTGAAGTTTTTAGACAAAACGGACTTTCCTACAAAAATTTGTTTTGGGAACTACAAATAGCGGCAAAATTTTTCGAATTTAATGCCTCTTAACTAACACTACAATGATTCACTTACTCTAGAAAGAGTTCCGTTGATTCTTGTATTTTTTATTTCTAACTCGCTTCAATCCCACTCAGTGTTGTCCAACCCTTCACCTAGTAATTCACCACAAATCTTGTGAAGCATTCACATCAACATTAAGAAGATATTGAACTAGCGAAATCCACGACGCTAAACTTACTCCCCCCTA